CTTGCTGATGCCTTTGTACCACCTGGAATGGGGGATGAAATGGGAAGCCCTGCCCCTGCTCTTTCCCTTAGGCTCTCTGCCAATGGGTGGGAGCAGCTTCAAGCTGGAGCTAGACATCTGTTGCCACAAACTCCTCAGGAGTAAGAGCAGCTTCTGGATGGCCCATCTGTGCTCCTTCAAGGCCATCCCTGCCAAACTCTCAGTGCAGACACCTTGGTGGAGGGGAGGTTGTGCATTTAGCCTGAGTGGTGAGAGCAAAGCTCTGCCTAACAAATACTGCACTGACGTGGGGATAGAGGGGAGGGGAGAAGGATGTAATGGAAGGCAACTCAAGTGGCAATGAGAGCAGTTGTTTTTGGCCTGCTCAGGGTTAATGCAGCTGTATCATCACTGAGCCCACTGCCCAAGTCCTGCATGTGATGCAGAAAAGCTTTCCCACAGCTTGATCGCTGTTGATATAAAGGGGGCAAAGAAGAAGAACCCACTTGCTTAAATGAAGCAGAGGAAGGAGCCGCCGTGCAAGTTGGGGAGAGTGATGCAGAGGCTGCCAAGGCAAACGCGTTCTCTCTTCAGATATTCACAGGCAAAGCATCGTAGATGGAAGCTCTTCCTTCATCACACTCCTGGTCTGTGTCTCTACGAGGCTGCCTGAGGGGCTGGGAGGATGGTGATCTTAAGCACACGTCACTGTACAGCATCATGCTTTTTCCCTTGCCCTGCCCCCATCTTGCTTCCTGCATTCAGAGAGACATTCTTCCTGTAAGGGTACCAGAGCTTGCTTCACATTTGTTTTAGTTTTTCCCATGTCAAGTGCAACACTGTTATAGACTGTTGTATAGCTTTAAACTGAACTGGCCTAGTGAGAGCATGTGAAGGATGTTGGATAAAAAGTGGGGGTACAAGTGTACGAGCACTGGGAAGTGATGTGTTGGGCTTGCAGTATATAGACAGGTGCCAAAATACCCCTTCCTAGCAGCATAAAGCCCCAGGACTTGAGCTTTGTGTGGGGCTTTAAATGCAGCTGTACTGGAGCCTTGCCTCCGCCATCACTCCAGCCCACACGCTGGGCCTTCGCATATTGTTTCTTTCCACTAGCTCCCGCAATGTGCTAGGCAGCATAGAAACATGGGAATGCAGCAGCCCTGCACTTAAAAGCTCACTTAGCTTCTGCTTCTCTGTGTTTCCCAAGTAGAGTAAATCCACTTAATCTTGGGTGCTGTAACGTTAGCACCTTGTACTTCCATTACATGCTGGTATATTTGGTACATAGGCTGCAACAGAGTGTACCCTGTGCAGCTGCTGATCCCCCACACTGCGGTGACTTTTACCTAGAGACGATATGTCCATTGTATGGATAGTGGCACGTGGATGGCTTTCGTCCTAAGAATTTTAATGAACAAATGAGAATTTTAATGGCTTTTTTTCTTTTTATTCCAAACCCAGTCTGTGTTTATCTCCTTTCTATTTTAGGAGAATTCCAGTGATAATTGCCAACTTTCCATATCTATAAACAGCTGCTTCACTAGAGGAGATGCTTTAAAAAAAACCACGGCATCTAGTCTGGTAGGACTATTAACATACTTCATGGCCCAAGGAAAGTCACTCTGTCTGTGCTAGAATTTGGATGATGATGCTCATTCACCTTTGGAAAGCACTTGAGGACTGACAGAGTGAAAACCCTAAATATGAAATGCCATCATGGATTTTGTTATAGAAGTACACTATTTTTCAGATATTCTGTAGTCCAAAGGGCCAAACTCATAACACCCATTGAAATCAATGTGATCACAACCTCTCGGGATTTTGCCGAGTTTGGCAGAATAAAATTTCTTCAAAATTCAATAACAGTTTTTAAGAATCTTCTCCTTAACTTGAGCTCTGGGAAGCATCTGCTTACGAGGTATCTTTGGATAATGTTAAAAGCTGTGAAAATGACTGTAGGGAGTCGAAGGGATTGTTTCAACTTTACCTGCAGTGCGGTGGTAGGATGAGAGCAGTGAAATCTGAGAACTCTGCAATGTTCAGGCTCTGCAAAGACGAATGTTATCCCTAGAACTACTAGCTAAAATTAGGAAGCTGATAAGCGAGTGCCTTTTGTTTCCTAAGCCCCCTGAAGTTAATGCAAAGATCCCATTTTGTCATTACATGAGATGAGGTGGTATGGCAGAGGGCACAAAGCTGGGAGCTGGCACACTGAAGTGGAAACGTGGTTACCATCCATCAGTCTTTTCTGTTCCAGTATTAGCTTGTTATGGTCCTACTTCTGCTCAGGATTTGAGAATATTGAATTGCAACCTGGTACCGTTCTTCTCAGCCTCTTTCCTTTACAGCTTCCCCTCCATCCCTGGGTGCTTTTTCTTGCCTCCTCTTACAGGTTTTCCAGCTCTTTTCTCTCCAGAATCCCTCTGCCACCCAGGGGATGCTTAACTTTTCCACAGTTAAACCTGTTCATGGGTCCATAGCAAACCATTGTAATATGCTATGCAAAAGGGCATGTTCTTTTCTCTTTCTGATAAGAAAAACACAACTTCCTGACATGTTGCGTGCAGCCAAGAAAAGAAGAAACCTTTGCATAAAAATTTCAGCAGGTCTGCACTGTGTCACAGTTTCACTCTGTTCTAGCCTGGTTGCCTGTGAAGGTGGGTATCAGGGGAGAAAATTGTTGTATTTGAATGGAAAGGAACTGGAGCCCGGTCAAAATACTATAATTTTCTACAAGACACCCTGGCATCGTGAGAGATAAAGGGCACTCAGTGCCATAGCTCAGGACTCTCTTTGCTTGATTCCTGCTACCAAAGGAACTTGGAAACATGAAGGAAAACAAATCTCAAAAGGAACCAGAAGAAATCTCATGAAGTTCAACAAGGACAAGTGCAAAGTCCTGCACTTAGGATGAAACAATCCCATGCACCAGTACAGGCTGGGGGCTGAGTGGCTGGGCAGCGGCTCTGTAGAAAAGGACCTGGGGGTTACAGTGGACAGTAAGCTGAATATGAGCCAGCAGTGTGCCCGTGTTGCCAAGAAGGCTAACAGCATCCTGGGCTGCGTTGGTAGGAGTGTTGCTAGCAGATCAAGAGAAGTGATTATTCCCCTCTATTCTGCACTGGTGAGGCCACATCTCAAGTACTGTGTGCACATGCTGTGGCCCTCCACTACAGAAAGGATGTGGACAAGTAGGAGAGAGTCCAGCGGAGGGCAACAAACATAGTACAGGAGCTGGAGCACATGACTTCTGAGAAGACTGAGGGAACTGGGTTTATTTAATCTGGAGAAGGGAAGACTGAGGGGGGATTGACTAGCAGCCTTCAGCTCCCTGGAGAGGGGTTGCAAAGGGGATGGAGCTGGGCTGTTCTCAGTGGTGGCAGATGACAGAGCAAGGAGCAGTGGTCTCAAGTTGCAGAAAGGGAAGTTCAGGTAGGAAAATCTTTCTCTCCAAGAGGTTAGTAAAACACTGGAACAAGTTACCTAGAGAGGTTGTGGATTCTCCATCCTTGGAGGCTTTGAAGAGCCATCTAGATAAAGCCTTGGCTGGGGTGATGTTGTTGGCGATGGACTAGATGAGCTCTTGAGGTCCCTTCCAACCCTAACTTTCTATGACTATAAGTTCAGTGTGGACTCCAGAGATGGAACTGAAGTTCTTAATGCAAAGATCTCTTCTTCACTTGGCTGCAGGCAACACACAGGGGAGTTGTAGGTTTCCTTATCAGAACGAGAATAATAGAGCATGCCCTTTTGCACACCATATATCATGACAGCCTGTTATGGACCCATGAACAGGTTTAGCTGTGGAAAATGCAAGCTGTCCTGATTAGCACAGCTGGGAAGATGTAATGCAACCCCCTACAAGCTATATGGCTCGGCTCCAGCAGAGGCAACTATGCCCCAGGATAAATTGGGCAATTTTCTCACACTTTCAAGAGCTCGCTTCTCTCTTCAGAGCCTGCTTGTTCATGTGCAGCTGCCACAGTGTGTTTTTTGTCGGGTTTCTGCCTCAAGCTCGCGGGTCCGTGGCTTTAGCTGTGAAAACAGTCTCTCCCCCCTAGCTCTGTGCTGCCTACCACCTGTGTCATTATTCAGAGCATTGCTGCCATCTAGAGGGGAGAAGGAGAAATATGAGGGAGTGTTTAATTAAGCCAGGCTGTCTAATTATGTAACTGCTTTTGAATCCATAAGATTTTGCTGGTAGCAAACTTAGATCACCACTGATTCCTTTTGCAAATACCCTTGTGGGCAAGGGGCACTAAAATTATTTCCTGCCAGAATTCAAAGCGTTTGCTGCACCTGCTGGGCTATCTCTGAATCATGGTTGGTTTCCAAAGGAGAAAAGGGTCTTCGCTGTTCTTCTTAGATGCACTCGTGGTGATGGAGAATGGATTTGTGGTCCTTTGTTTCCTGACCAGGGACTGGGAGCTATATGGACTTCGTGACTCTATAGGTGCATCTACATAAGACATTTTACTGCACAGTTGACTAATTAGCTGCACAGTAAACATCTCCGTATCTACACATCCACCCCTGTTAGGCTGGAGTAATTATTCAGCAGCAGGATAGTGCATGTAAATACAAGTACTATCCTGCTGTGGAGTAAAAAATATCCACGGTGGCGCATGTGTAGATGCTTCCTGGCTGGTTGGGGCATAGAGGTGCTTCAGTGCAAGGGTTGCATGTTGGTTAGCCCTGCACTGAAGCTCCCTTGTGCCCCAGGCAGCCCCTCCACAGCACATTGAGCTGGGGGGAGTAGTCGGCTTCACATGCTGCACATGAATAAACTGCAGAGCTTGCTGCTCCGGAATTAATTGCTCTGGGTGCACGTTCAAATGGCGTGCCCGGAAGCAATTAACTCCAGAGCAATAAGCTCCACCGTTTAGTCAGGCATCATAATTGCGTGTGTAAATGCGCCCTGTGAGTGGCATATTTTAATTGAGGAGGGGGGAGTTGCAAGGTTAGGAATGATTAATAAAGCTGAGTAACTGATACTGAATGTCTTTATTTCTTTACAGACTGCGCTGGCTGTGGAAGAGATATAAAAAATGGACAAGCGCTGCTAGCACTGGATAAGCAGTGGCACCTGGGATGCTTTAAGTGCAAGGCCTGTGGGAAGGTTCTGACTGGGGAATACATCAGCAAGTAAGCAACTTCCTTCATCTTTTCTGCTGCATGAGTGCCAAGCCCATAGTTCTGTGAGCTCTCATTGCAAAGTGAAGAGCTTCCAAAGATACCTCATGGTAAAATTTGCCTTTGTTCATCAGCTTGTCAAATCCTGGTTCTGTGGTCCTCTGCTGATCTCCCTTCACCATGAATACTGAGGTTCATGCCCCGAGTGGGAGCAGACTATCTGAGCTGAGAGGTGTAAGGGAACTGTTTCCCTCTGAACTGACAAAAGCAAGTGGGATGCAATGGTTAACAATAACTATAATACAGAGGGGTGCATTTGTTTTCTCCTTCAAGAAAAGGGTTGCTTGAGCTTCTCTTGAGTCTCTGTTGTGTTTGCTAGAGACAGATTTTGGACTTTTTCATCTAAACAGAATTTTGCATATCAAATTGGGAACTTGAAGGGAGCAAAGCACATGTCTCTTCCCATTGCTAGAACAGAGAACAAACACTGTGATGGATTTGACCTGACTTGCATCTGGATTAGAAGCTAATGAACAAAAGAGTTATCAGCATACCCAGCTGTGGGGATAAGATCAGACAGAGTGCTATAGCTCCAAGATACAGAGAGCTGAGCCAGACTAATTTTGAAGCATCTAATGAGGGAGAAAACCTCAGGACACATCAGAATGTGTTGCAGAGAAAAAACTTTCATTACTCATTGTAGAGGGTACAGGTATAGATTGTGGAATCTATGAATAATAAACCTGCTGAAGCAATCCCAGTACTGCATGAATTCCTTAAGCTGACTAAGATATTTCCAGTTATACCATGTAAAAAGCAACTCCACTTACCCTCTGATGTGACTGTGGTTTCTGCTTAGACTTTGGTGTACACTGGTATGGTGGACATTACCAAAGATGTATTTACTGGAAAGAATACATGTGAAGCAGGATCATGTCTGCAAAGGATAAAATGTGTGTATTGCTAAAGGGCCAGATCCCCTGCCTATGTCCGTGGGTCCAGTTCCACTGTTTTCTGTTGCGTTCCATCTCCTTACACAAGCACAGAATCCAGCACAGTGTTTGCACATTTTTGCTTGAATGTGTCCGCTCCAAACACTCAGTTCTTAGTGGTATTGATTATACTATAATTTCTTTATATCTGCAAACTAGCTACCTTGATTTTTTTTTCATTCCCTTTTTTTTTGCAGAGTGAATTTTACGTTAAAGATAAGGGCCAATTGCAAGCCCTGTTAAAATTTGTTCATTAAGAAGTGCTTTGTGTCTTCAATTTTTTTCCCCCGACAGGGATGGTGTCCCTTATTGTGAAAAGGATTATCAGGTTCTCTTTGGAGTCAAATGTGAAGCATGTCACCAGTTCATCACAGGGAAAGTCCTGGAGGTAAGCATCATACAATCTGTAGCCTACTAGTTAGATGTTACTTGGCCGGGCTTTGAATGAGCTCCCATCAGACTACAGAGAGCACAAATAATTTGTCCCCGGAGAGATTTTTGGGAACAAAGAAAGGCCTGTGTGGTTTGAAAAATCCCAGCCATCAAGAAAAAAATACGTGGTAGAGATCTGACCACCCTGTTTTCTGCGGACATGTCAGTAAGCTGATTTTTCTTGTATTTTCTTTTTTTTTTTTTTTGAGAGCTGCAAAAACTTTTAGCAAGTCTGTGGTTGAGGAGTTAGTAATTTGGGTGAGGATTAGAAAATAAGTACTAAAGGAGTCATCTCTGGGGACCATAAATGTCCCCAGGATTATAGTTGTGGAATAGCATTAATAATACTCAGCTTTTGTTCTTTGGGAGGGAGGAGATTGAGACAAGGTGGTACAAGTGATATTGAGGAGGTAGTATAGGCTGGAGAGGACAGTGATTTTAGGTAGAAATGAGAAAGTACAAGCAGCTGTGAAGTTTTTTCATCCAAACTATGCTTCATCCCAAGTCATTGACTGTAGGATGGGGATCAAATCCTCTGGTCTGACGAAGCTCTTTAGAGACACGTTCTGCTCGAAATGTGAGTCTGGACTCCATGGCTTGGGTGCACCTCTGGCTTCAGTGTTGCTTACTATTCAACTTGAAGATGTATTTGATTTTACTAAGCAACGTTATTGGTAAAAGGGGGAGGAGAAGGAACTCCATCGAACCTCTGGTATATTTTTTGAAGCGGCATGTAAGGAGCTGAACATACAGTACCCACAATGAACAAAATATGCCTCCTATAGTGAGGCAGAGATGAAAGCAGTTGCAACCCACTGGGGAATGTGTGTTATAAGTCCTCTCCTCTGGGCCCCATCTGCAGAGCATGTGAGTCTGTGACAGCCCTAGCTTAGAGGACCTTGGTGTGGGAACTCCAGCTGTAGCAGCCCCTCAGTATTTTTGCTCTTGAGGTGCCTCCTCCAGTCCCCACCCTGTAAGTCAAGATGGCACGAATCACAAAGGATCTGCACGCCACTGCTCTTGTCATTGATTCTTTTAAAATGCAGTATCTTTTTTTTTTTTTTAATTAGGTGTGCTTTTTGCCCTTTCCCCCTTTCAGTGTGAGCCTAATCCTTTTGGAGATCCACATGGCTAATTAGTGGGAACAGGATCTGTTCTCTCTTGTGCATGAAGAAAGCGTACCGCTCACAGCTACTAGTGGTTTGCTTTCTGGTTTGAAAATATGTATCGGTGAAGACACTGTTGGGTTGAGAAATATGAACGGGGAGAACTGATATTATTTGTCAGTTCAGAAATTTTTACAAAAATTGCCTCTGGTGATTTCCCTGCTGTGACTGTAGTAGGGATGCACATGAAAGACGTACAGACCCCATGCAGTAACTGAACCTGAGGCCAAAATGATGGGAGGAGAGACTGTTGGAACAGAGGTTGTAAGATATGTTCCCTTTGCCCCATAGTGGTTTAGACACTTGTCTAAATGCTTGTTACAATGGCTGCAAGTAGAAAAAGTCTGAGCTCAGGTAGTCTTGGCTTGAAAATGCATTATCCTTCAGAAGGAATATACCTTTCTACAAGGACCTCAGGGCATACCTCAGTTATTAAAACCTCTCTGTGCAAGTTAAGAGTCTTGGGAAAACACTGAGGCACAATTCCTTTAATTCATGAGGTTGGTTTCTTAAACTTTTAATGTTGTCTCTTTGTCTGACTGTTTATCATGATAAAAAAAACCTTCCACTGAGCCACAAGAGTTGGAAGGAGTTAAGGAAGTGCCGGAGAACAACATGTCCATTTGTCCAGGGGCAAAATCTAATATGCTACTGTTGATGGGTTTTGTTTTTTTTCCATGCAATCTAACCCTTATGAAACCATGATGCCTTGATAAACCATAAAGAGAACATTTTAATGGCCTTTTGAATAAGTAAACATTAAACATAAAATGGTCTTGGGATGCTTTTGGCTGCCTTTTGCTGGATTTTCTTTTTTTTTCTCATCTTCCCTGCCACATCTGGTAAGTGTAGTTTTGCTTTAATGTGATCAACAGCATTTGGCTGTAGCAATACAGCAGAGGGCAGCAGCAGCCCCTGGCATGCAACTACTATGACGATCTTAGGTAGCCTGTCAAAGTTGAATTACTAAGTACGATGTTCCTTCCTCCTAATCTATTTAAATGAGGTTTAAAGTCTGGCTGCTGTCAGGAAGGTGTAGATGGAGAGGCTAAGAGGAGATTCCTTCGTGGAATAAGTAGAGCTGTCTTGCCAAACAAGAACCATACATTGTCTGTCAAGAAGAGATTAGTGGAACGTACTCTAATGCTTTTAAACCCGCCTGGATAATCCACTAATAAAGTTCCTCTGATCTCATCTCTGAAACTACAAGAGGCATGTACAACTATGCTCTTCATTATAGACAGGACTTTAATTGAGTGATTTGATCAGGTGACATACAGTAATTAGTACCACTCAGCACAACCTCTGCGCTTGATTCTTGGACCCCGTGAAGGTCCACTTCACTCCGTCATACGAGCACAGTTCTGCAGGGATGAGGCCATTAAATGAGTCCCGGACAAGAAACATACTTTTCTAGACTATCCATTTAATACCTTTGAAAATCAACTAAAAAAATGGAGGTGAGGAAAAAGTCCTATGTTGGTGTCAGTCCTGAGAGGTTTAGCACATCCCTGTTTGTGCGGAGCGCCAGTACCTGGCCATGCTCACAAGTGCATTAAGTGTGATGAATAGCCAATTAAAAACAAATCTGATGCCGGTACAGGAAGTCGTATATTCCCTTGTACGTTATGGACACGTGGAACTGCTGTCAAGGCAACATAGTATGTTCTTACACTGTTTTACCACCAGAAAGGAACCATTATGAGGAAAAAACCTTTGTTTCCTGTTAACTCCAGTGAAAAACTTCCCTTATCCAGAAGGATGGCATGGAAAGAATTTGGATTGGTGTCTAAAAGAAGATGCATAGATTTTCCACTGTATTGAGGTTGCCCTAATGTTTGTGTTTTTAAAACCTGGCCAGCGAAAGATAACAATTGGTGATTGATCCTGCAAACTCGTGAGAGAGAGAGAGAGAGAGAGAGACCCATCGTCCCGGTGGGACTGGACAGGAAACTGAGCCACAGCTAGATGACGCCACCTGCCTAACATTACATAGAAGGATTGGGAATAGGACACAGTCTCCTGGTGCCTAGTCCAGGGCGATGTTGTCACTACTGATATAAGCAGGATTTGCACCAGTGCTGTAGAGATCAGAGGCTCTATATCTGCTAACAAATCCCTGAACCATCTGGTTTCCCTACTTTACCCATTTATATAATAGCATCTGCTTAATATTCACCCTCCCATGAAAAGCAGCCCTATGATCTATCCTAGCTGTACACCACTCTAGTTCTGTTTAGATAAGCAACTGTTTCACGTTGGTCAGTGTTTGGTAGTGGGAGTATCATGTCATATGTTCCCCTGGCTATTCTTTTGCTAATCCTGTATATACTTGTTTCTTTATGTGGCACTGACACTGGCACGCCACTTTGCAAGTGATGGCACAGTGCCAGTTGAACAGATGGACCTGCAGAGAGAACGATGCCAGGGAATCGGTAGGTTCATCTGACTTCAGCTTGAAAGGCCAAGTTCCCATCAACTATTGTTGAAATGGCAATTTATGCTGAGCTTGTCCTGATTTTGTAAAGGAGCACAGAAAACTGCTCTTATTTTAATGAACGAAGGGGTCTTTCATCTGTGTTACACCAAAGACGTACTGACTTTGAGCTAAACTTATTGTGGAAATAGCTGCTGTGGTTGCATAAGAACTTTTTATCGTCTTTGTTGATGAGGAGAACATTATGATACAAGGAACAGCTCTTCAAAAGTCAGGGATGGCCATAATCATCCTCCAAAATTTGTCCTTTTTTTAAAAATCACTGGGTATAAAAGGATTCAATTAATTGTCTTAATTTTGCTTATGTAACTCAGTCTTTGATTCTGTAAGCTGCTTGAGCTATAATCATCTAGTCCATTAATTTGATGTGGAGGCTTTTATATGAATTTCAGCTGGGATCCTCCAAATAGCATCGTTTGATTCAATTTACAAAGAAATAATTTAAATAAAATTCTTGGTTCTTATTTACAGTGTAATTGATGCAGCAACGCAGACATATTTAGCAACACTATGTAAGGCCGTAATTCTACCAACACATAAGTATGAAGAAAACTTCACTCACATAAGCAGTCCCATTGCCTTCAGTGGCTTTCTGTTGTGAATACATTTATCCACATGCTTGTCTGCATTGACTTCGAGATTTACAAGCTTGAGTGTTCAAGTCTGTTTTTTAAAAGTTAAATTTGACTCTTAGGTGACTTAGATGCTTTTGTATCTTTGACCCTAATTATCTCAGAACTTGATGAGGTGTTCTCATACCTTTTGTGAGCTTTGACGCCACTTCCAGTCATGAGACCAAACTTCTGGTTGACTTATCTTGCCTCCAGTCTGAGCCAGTTGTCAGAACTGAATTTCTGCGAGACCTGCAACCCCATTTGAGGTCAGAGCCCTTCAATCCACAAACTCATTAAGGCATCTAAGCCTAACTGGAATTGATTTGGGTGCTTTATGTACCTGGCCACAAGCAGTTTTGCTACTTGGCTCATAGAAAGGGCTAAGTTTTAGAGTGCATGGCGTGGGTGAGGAGAATGTCCTCTGAAAACAGATGGAGATTTCTGTTCAAAAACATTAAATAGCACACTGATGCACATTAGTTTCTTTCTTGCGTGGCATGCTTAGGAGAGCTGATCTGAAAGTAGTCATCCAGGTGAAATCTTTTGATTTAATTGTATTAATGAGACAGGTCGAAGCTTCCTGGCTTCAAACTGAATAAAGCAATTTTTGTAAGCAGCATTTTATTGATGCAAATGAAAGACTCTGAAAACACAAGCTGTTGAAAGTGGTAGCTGTGGTGGGTTTTTGAAGTTATTGTAGGTTTAAAAAAATACATAAAACTTCAGAGAGAATATATTAGTGTTTTTCTGCCATTGCCACCAGAAATCTGCAGACTATTTTTCAGGCATGGGAAAAAATACACAGTTTGTGATGCGAATCACTTCTAGCCAGAGGCAAATCCAGGATTTCTTAAAGTGGGTGTGTGGCACACTGCCTTGCAGGCCGTGGACTGATGGGGGTGTGGTGTAGCTGGCTTCCCAGTGTCTGCCAGCCCAGGGCTCCAGGCAAGGAGCAGGTGCTGGAAGGAGGAACTCGCCCCTGAAGCTGTCCCCAGGCTGCCAGGCAGAGAGGAGCCCCAAAGCCACTCCTGTCCTGCTCCAGCTGGGGCCTGCGGGGAGCTGCAGCATGGGATGTCAGATTCAGCTCAAAAAAATGGTGGTGGTGGGTAGGTTTCTTCCTTCCAGTGCCTGCGCCCTGCCCAACCTCCCTTGCCCTGCTTCCCGTGTTCCCTGGTGGCTGGGAACAGGGGCTGGAAGGGGGAACCTGCATGCTGCCATTGCCATCCCCAGCTGAGCCCAATGCTCCACACAGCTGCTCCCTGCACAGCCCAGCTCTGTGACCTCCCCCTGCCCCCCAAGTCAGCTAAGGACAGTGGCAGTGTGTGTGTGGTGGGGGGTGGGGGGGCGGGGCACACAGGCAGGTTCCTCCTCCTAGCAGCTGCTTCTGGACAGTGCGGGGGATATCGGGAGGCACGGGGTTGGCAGGGAAGAGGTGCAGAAAGAGTCAGCCCCCTTGCTGCTGCTGTCCCCTGCTGAGCCTGGCACCCTGCACACCTGCAATCCATGGCTAGAGTGGGGCAGGAGTAGCTCTGGGGTTTCCAGTGTGCATGGGTCAGCCAGAGACCGCAACGGCAGCACGAGGGGGTGTGGCACCGTACCACTGCACCCCCCTGGGTCCACCCCTGCCTGCAGCCTGAATAGGCAACAAAAAAACACAAGACAAAGGGGTAACAAAGAGCAGCCCAGCCCTGACGTATCTTGTTAATTCTGTGCTTTGCTTTGTTTGCATTTAGTTTATCACTGTTCTGGTAAGTTTGGGGGGGGCAGGGGTTGTGAACACACAGCATAAACCATCCTGGCAAATGCTGGAAGACCTACTGAAGCACACAGCAATCACTGCTTGCTCTAATGCTACCATCTTTATTATGGAGATGAGTAAAATGGACTAGAAATTATCTGATTATGGTTCACACATGTCTATGGGCACCGGGGCCCTGCATAAACTGCATAATCATCCTGGATCAGCATTTCTCAACCTGTGGGTCACGACCCAAGAGTGGGTCACAAGGATATGTGGAAGGGTTGCAACCAGACCTTAAAAATGGATCAACAAACTTTAAAAATGGATTCTCCTTTAAAGATAAAAACATGGAAAATCGTGGCTTTTCCTTTGCAAGCTGGCAGAGTTCCAGCTTGCAAGGGGATGCTTGCCCCCTTTGCCCCCCACACTGGGAGTGAGGGGAGCTGGGTCGGGCCTGGCCATCAATGTTTACAAATGGGTCCTGGTACAAAAAAGGTTGAGAACCGCTGTGCTAGATAATTCAAGGGACATGACTTTAAGCAGAACATACAAGTGCCAAGATGCACGTGCCCATTTGAGAGGTGTCGTCTTTTCTCTATTAACCCAAATGTACCTGCAGGCACATTTCAGTGTACGGTAATAGACCCTTTGCAGCCCAGAGTCAAGTAGCCCACGGGAGTGACACCTAAATTGCTCAAAAGCCCCAGCAGAAGTATTTAGTCCCCTTCACAGACACGATACACTGTTCCCAGGCTGAACCAACACCTCTTCCCGAGGCGGAAGTGCTCTGAGTGGCCTTTCATCGAATGATTGCACTTGAATGCTAAAAAATGGTACTGTCCCCACCTGGGTCATAATCCTCCCCCCTCCCCTTTTCCCTTTTTCAGAATGGACTGGCCCGGCGACAGCTAGAACGAGTTTCCTGCACAGGCAGAAAAGCCTGGTGATTCTCTTTTTGGGTGGATACACTGAACAGCCAGTGGAGGTTGGGGGTGGGGGCTGTGTTTTGGTCAGAAACAGGCTTATATAATAGGAAGCTGCAAGGGCTGGCTCAGTGCAAACAGGAGCTGCAGACTTGTGGGTGTCTGCAGGTCATTTTTCAGACTGCTCTGAAATGTCACAAGTGGAGCGTTCACCAGGCTGAGGAGGACTGGAAATTAGCCTGAAGAAGCCTTTACAGAAGGTAAAACCCTCTCCTTGCAAAAATTTCCTGCAAGATATAATGGGGAAATCACCTTGTGGGGGAGACTCTGCAGCTTTGTAATGTGGCTGAACGTTTTATCCCCGCCGCAAAGGCCAGTGATGACAGAGTCAGATATTAGGACGTTTATTCCCTTCATTGTGTGCAGCGGAGAGATTTATTTTGAGGCGCTGGGTCATTCTGTTCTTTGGAAGAAGGGAAAGTAATTAATGAAGTTTTATGTCTACATATTTTATGGAGAGTGTCAGAAACCAGCGTAAGTCAGATGGAGTTTGTGTGGTTTCTGGTTGCTACTTTGTACTTGAAATCTTGACACACTATTCATCTTGTCTAATTCTTAAAATAATATGTCACTCTGTGATTTATTTCTGCACATTTGCCCTACTAGACAACCTAGGTATCCCTTGGAAAGTTTCATTGTCTCTAGCTGAAGTGAACATTAAAATGCTCCATTTTTTTAACAAAGGATCAACATTTGCATGAAAATGAGGAAATGAAAAGTATAATAATAACACGCAGACATGGGTGAATGCCTCTGTCAGGCTAGCTAGATAGCATGTGGGGGTGGCAGAAAGTGGCTTCGATTTGAACTGTTTGTTCTGAAAACGGTTTGTCCTGATCGCGTACACGACTACATACACAGACTACGGCAGCGTCTGGGATTGATACTGTGGTCTACTCTAGTATTTTTTTAATCAGGGCTCCAGCATCCTGGAGTGATAAGTAAAGTTTCTTGATGTGGAAAAACTTCCCTACCCAAGCAGCTACTTTTGCATAAAAGTTAAAGAGATCCTTTTTTTTTTTTTTTTTTAAAGCAAAGGCAGGGGTGAGACAAAAGCGATGTCTATCCCCTGCAAAAAGTCAGATTTACGATTATGGAAAAAGACGATACGTAAAGTTGGCAGTGCCCCAGCAAAAGTGTGGTCACCATGGCAGCTTCAACAAGAGGGTGTAACTCTCACTCAGCAAAGATTTACGGACCAACCTGCAGCCTGCTTTCATTCCCGCGCTGCAGGGAGGAATGTTAAGAGGATGTAGGGGATGCTGAGTAAGAAAAACAGGTTGTGACTAGTCATTGTAAAATAACCCATTCAAACATTATTATTGCCACACAAAGGCTTGTGGGATCTTGTAGGCACCGACTAATACACCGCTTACCTACATGGATGACCTTCTCAGGACCCTGCTACCAGCCAGAAGCACTTCCCAAGCTGTCTGGGGCAGCACTTTTTGGTTTTAAGTATCATTTTTAGTCATGTGTTCCCTTGGGATTTTTTTTTTTAAGTTTCTAATGTGTTCTGAAAATTCCTGGGCATAGTTTCAGAGTCACAACTTACCCAACATGCCCAAAGCGTAACAGAGGGGTACTGCAGAAAGTGCTTTTACACTGGGCCCAGTAAACGGCTTCTTGCCCTGGTGAGATGGACAGCAGCCGTCATTGAAGCATAGCTTCTGTTAATATACCAGAAGCACGTATAGAAAAAATACGACTGCTAATCATTTACACCCTGAAGGTGCACAGGATAAGTGCACCACCTTATCAGTGGAACAATTACTGCAATGTCCAGGGGTGCTTTAATTGTTTTCTTCTTGACCTCAGAAGTTAGCCCATTGGTTCACTCTTGCAGTTCAGTTTGATTTGGTTTCCCTTTGGCATGGTCCAAGTTCAGGGAAGCACAGCATTGCATCTCTATTCAGTTCCACAGCCCTGTTCCTCCAGCTTTTGAGTGCCATTATCATTATTTATTTAAACTATGTTTTATGGTAGTACTAACAGTCATGGCCAAGTCCGTGTAAAGATAAACTGCAATCAGTGCCCCAAAGCTCTGACAATGAAAATGAGCTTTGTCTCGGTGCCAGATTTTCATGGTGTGATTGTGATGCAACAGAGTTAAGTCACAGAAGCCACTTATATACCAGTCCCTTGCTCAGCAAGAGGCCAAGCCCAGCAGTTCCTAGATTCGTAGATGTTGGGGTTGGAAGGGACCTCACTAGACCATCGAGTCCAACCCCCTGCCCTGGGCAGGAAAGAGAACTGGGGTCAGATGACCCCAGCCAGGTGCTTGTCCATTCGGTAAATTCAGTAAGGAGGGTGTCTATGAAGGCTTAGAGGGGTCCTAAATGCATTCCCTAGCATTGCATTTAAACTATCCTACCCATGGATGCACAGGATCCTTTTATACTGTGTGCAGTGACTAATTGCTGGGCTTGGGTACATACAAGTGGGTGGGGTTTGATTCTCAGCGGCAGAGCAGATCCCTCTCGGCAGCTTGGTGAGCATAGGTGACAAAGGTAACAGGAAAAATCCATTTAATAATGGATAACAGGAAAGTAACCTGTTTAAATTCGCTGATGACACCAAAATTTGGGGGGAAGTGAGCACGCTAGCAGGGAGTGAGAGATTGCAGAGGGATCTGGATAGGGTACAGGGGTGGGCTAACAGGAACAGGATGCGTTT